ATATAAATGATTTTATAAATTCTCTTCGGGTATACTTGGCATATTTAACAAACCAGTAACTTTGAGTTTTCGACTAAGTTTATTTTTCAAATTTGAAATTGAAATTCATCATTGGCAATCTTCAACACTTGCACAGTTTTGATGAAATCAATGTCTACCAAGAGCAAGACAGTATGTATTTTCTACTCGATTAATACAAAGCAATCAGTTCCGTAACTATTGGCATCTAAAGATAACCTGGCCTTTCCACATCTCGTTTTAAGAAAGAAGCAGTTGAAATAAAATCTCAACTGCATGTTGAAAGCTGCATTGATAATATTTTAAAGATGCATGACTGTATCAAATAACTTTAGAGATGTAAATCATAAAAATAAGACGTTGAATAAACGCAATTTATATTGTCATGCGTGACTATTATAAACACATACTTTACAGCAACCCCCTCGATCCTCCCCTACAGTACTTGCACGCAATGATAAAATTGACATTCTGTAAAAGAACTAAACTTGTCAGGTACATATTTTGTAATTGCTGGCAAATCCGGATGATCTATGATTTACTGAAGTGTCTGACATAGGACAATTGTCAGTAGCTCGATCAGTGTCACTTCTAGCCATTTAATTAATACCTTTCGTCATAGGCAACAACATACGCTAATTTATAAAACTCTCTCGGTTCTCTTAACATCTATAAAATAATTAACTCTACTTATACGTAAAAACGCAGCTATATGTAAACACAAATTTCAAGACAATTGTCTTAATCTGCATAGTTGAATATTGTTTCTATACTTTCTTGATGAGTGAAAAATCAGTAAGTATTGTTAAAAATATAATTTGAAGACTTATTCGTGTCGAGATAAATAAAGAAGATAATTACAGACATGTTTTTAGCGATAAAATCAAACGTCTGACGCAATGAAATTACCAAACATGCTATTAAATGCACTGAAATAACTCCCAAATTCAATGTAGTGTTTTATAAGCATACCATTCTTTAAACATGACAGGAATACAACAAAAGTAGGTCTGCAAATCTTGCTAAATATTATCTGATCCTGATTATCAAATTTGACTTCTTTGCCGTTTAGTTTACGCCTGATAGAACCATGAAAATAATACAAATGTATGCACTTTGTCACATACATATTTGTTCAAAAAATGAAAAGATTTCAAAAGATCACAGCTGGAAATAATCTTTGGGGGATGGACTTGAGAAATTTTGTAAAGGTAAAAATGTAAAAAGTAAATGAGCACAAGCCTGTAAATTATCTGCACATTTGAAGAAACACAACTTTAAAGTTAGTTTTACAAAGCATGACTCACCGGAAATGTAGGCCATGCATCAAAACCATTGATTGAAACACAAGCGAACATACTTCATTTTCTCGTTCCTTCACCTGCCATGTTTTATCTCCTGATTGCTACTTATGTTTGAAACAGATACCGCTGTCATTAAGAGCCCACGATGAGCTAGCAGTGTCTTTATTCTTTTTAATATTCTCGTGAACGTTGATCGTAGAAAAATGCAAAACATTTTAAAATAAGAATTTGCAAAAACAACAAATTTATTTCAATCACACAGATAAGTACCTTTATTGATTCAGACGTCTCCTCAAATGATATACAACAATCAGTATTACAGTAGAGCCACGAGAACTCCAACTGGCTCCTTCAACTCCAACTTTAATTCCGCTAACTCGAAGTCAATTCCTCCCGGATTTGCTGTTTGCTAGTACATTACACATGATGTATGAAAAAAACTGTTTCTCTTTGAAATCAACAGACATTGCTGCACATATATTAACGTTTATAAACTTTAACTAATGTAATTTGTTCGTGATTAATTTACCTATTCAAGATAATAAAGTCTTAACAAGAGTTTTCACATGACAGACTTTTTCAATGAGAAATAATAAATAGTTAACTTTTCTAAAATAGTTTAATATATTTCTAGAACATAAAATATAATTATAAGACTTAAAAAGGAATAATTAACAGATAAAAAGTATATTTATACGATTCCCCACGTTCAAATCACCTTGCAAACAGGCGGAAACAACAAACTGCTATGTTGGAAAGTTATCAGGGAAAAATGCAACATTAATTTATAGATCTCGTTCATACTGAAGAATTATTTCTTTGACTGAAACTTACTCGCAAACTGTTCTTCAAGATCAGGTCTTGATTTCCATTCTCTTAACCTTATGATTCTGTGCACCAAAACACAGAATATGGAATATACAGAAGGGTCACTCGTGTCGGAGCCTTTGATGTTTTTGTCCTCGCGCATATCGGCAGCCCAACCACTGACATGACACGACGTCACTTCTTATATTGAAATATATTTTCGATTTCATTGTGAAGAAACGAAAACATGTAATTGCAGTGGTTGGGAACAAGTGAAAAGCCCTAAATGTCTTGCTAGAATGATGGCCAACGTGAGGACGCGGCGCACACTTGAATGGCCCTCCTGTATAATTTTTATTTTGTGAACAAAAGGGGAAGCTCTTGGAAAACTCTCAAGAAATACTCTTTATAGTTGTTAATCATTTCTTGAGAGTTTTGTAGTCATGATAAATTTTGTTGTCATATAGTTGTCAATTATATCAATCATTGAAAATAATAGAATTATTTCAGTGGTTATAACTTACTTGTAAAATGTTCTTCAAGATCAGGTCTTGTTTTCCGATCATTCAACCTTGTGATTCTATGCACCAGCAAAGGAAGCTCTGGGAAAACTCGTAAGAAATACTCTTTGCCTTCCTTGATACGTATGAGTCGTTTATCACGCCAATTCTGGTGAACGTTTTGCAAAAATTTTAAGCAACCCAACCATGTGGAGTCGTATTGACTTATATTGAAAATACTAAAAACTTCAGGTTCAATACGGTCCATCCAATTTTTTAGACCATTTAACTGCACATGCACATCTGAGTTAAGAGGATGACCTAAATACGGTATCTCTATCCCTGGTTGGTTTGCCACATCACACAGCATATCAAAGTTCTTCTCATAGGATTGTAGATAAGGGTGTTTTAACGCCTCGCTAGCAGATGGTCTTAGTTCAGGTACAAGTTGTAGCATCCATGAAAGTAGATCTTTAAGTTGAACATCGTCGATTTCCTTTAAGCCAACAGGGTTTCCATCTAACAAGTTTTTCAGTCTATACTCTGGAGGTCCAAAGGATGTTTCCCTTTGTTGCAACATAATAAGCCACCATTCCTGCATTCTAAAATCAATGAAAACGTTTTTTCAGCATTTTTGTAAAGTTAATAAATTACATTTCAATTTGCAAATGGTATAATTCTAAACCTACCATTACATCAGACTTTTTTTGGTAACATGAATTATTAACTGATTCAGGAGCAATCCAATACTCAGTTTCCCATTTAGCATTGCTTTTAAATCTCTTGGAGTCATTCTTCATCATTCGACTAATAACAAAGTCAGCTAGCAAAAATTTGCTCTGTGAGTTACGGAGAACATTGGAAGGTTTCAAATCTCGATGAAGAATAGAACCACTATGAAGATCAGCTAATCCTTTTAGCGTTTGTCGGAGAACTTTAGGAAGAGATTTTTGAAGATCATACAAGCTAGAAGATTGCACAAAACTCTCTAGAGATTCTTCACATAGGTCGAGTATCAAATATACATATTCAGTTGCAGTATCTTCTTCTAAGTGGTAATAATTTACAACATAATTCGACTCCTAAGGGTTGATTCCATTTAAAATTTTCTTTTCTTGCTGTGCAAGATTGATGAAGTTATCTTTAAGCATTCGTTTCACTGCTTTACCGTAACCATCTTTTCCCAGTCCGAGATAAACACGGGTTTCATTACTTCCTTTGCCGATGCAAAACTCGTCTGAGAAAATTACACCTACATCGTTCACTTGTTTAATGACGACGTTGGGATCGCGTCCATACTTGATCAATTTTAAAAGCAATTCTCTATGTTGTGTTGATTCATCAATATATTTCCACTCTGGTCACACCAAGTCTTAAAATCACGTAAAATTGTCACATTTAGGCATGAATGATAAGAATAGTCAAACAATTAGCTAAAAGTTGTCTAAAGTCTTGCAAATACGATTCTACATTAGAACAGTAGAAATATGAATAAGCAACAATAGCAAACAATACGTAGCTACAAAGCAAATAGCAATATAGGCTTATTGATACAATCAGTTTATTTCGACTCTCGACTTTTCATTTAAAATCTGGACTTTTTTTACTCTCATCTTTTACTATCGACTGTCACTCTGAGATAGTAGTTGGAATCTACTAACCTTATTTAAAACTGTTACAAATGAAATTTGACTACAGACTAAAGACCATGCACCATAAGAAAACAACATCACGATATAATGTTTAAGAGTATTTGAGCTCTGGATCTTCAAAAATATAAAATGCTGAAAATGCAAAGAATGTTTGCCAATCTTTAACCCGATATCCATGCCAAACTTAATTGCTAAATAGCAATGGATCAAAAACAAAGATTCTTGTTTTCCTCACCCATGAAAATTTACACGGAAACCCTAAATGACTGACTCGATTAAATTTTCGTCAGTCTTATCAATACAGCATTTTTAAAAAAGTTTGTACCAAAAGCTATAATGTTTTTGACATTGAAAAGAAAGCCTAAAATCGGATCCATCATTGAAAATAATATAATCATTTCAGTGGTTATAACTTACTTGTAAAATGTTCTTCAAGATCAGGTTTTGTTTTCCAATCATTAAACTTTGTGATTCTATGCACCAAATGAGGAAGCTCTGGGAAAACTCGTAAGAAATACTCTTCATACTCGCCTTCCTTGGTATGTAAGAATGGTTTATCATGCCAATTCTGGTGAACGTTATGCAAAAATTTTAAGCAACCCAACCATGTGGAGTCGTATTGACTTTTATTGAAATTACTAAAAACTTCAGGTTCAATACGGTCCATCCAATTTTTTAGACCATTTAACTGCTCATGCACATCTGAGTTTAGAGGATGACCTAAATACGGTATCTCTATCCCTGGTTGGTTTGCCACATCACACAGCATATCAAAGTTCTTCTCATAGGATTGTAGATAAGGGTGTTTTAACGCCTCGATAGCAGATGGTCTGAGTTCAGGTACAAGTTGTAGCATCCATGAAAGTAGATCTTTAAGTTGAACATCGTCGATTTCCTTTAAGCCAACAGGGTTTCCATCTAACAAGTTTTTCAGTCTATACTCTGGAGGACCAAAAGGATGTTTTCTTTTTGTTGCAACATAATAAGCCACCATTCCTGCATTCTAAAATCAATGAAAATGAAACAGCTTATAAGAAATGTCGAAAATCAAAGTCAATTTAATTTGCAAAAGTTACCCTTTTGCACCTACCATTACATCAGACTGTCTTTTGAAACGAGCTTTTTTTTTCGACTGACTCTTCACACAATATGATTCAGGAGCAAACCAATACTCAGTGCCACTTTTTGCAATGCTTGAATATGTCGTACGGCCATCCTTCAATATTCGACTAATACCAAAGTCGGCTATTAAAATTTACCTTGTGCGTCTCGTAGAACATTTGAAGGTTTTAAATCTCGATGAAGAATAGGACGTGGCTCGCTATGAAGATCAGCTAATCCTTTTAAAATTTGTCTGAGAATTTCGGGAAGAGTTTTTTGAAGACAAGTCAAAGAATTTGCTTCTGACAGTACAAAATCCTGCAGTGATTCTTCACACAGGTCAAGTATTAAATATACATATTCTGTTCCACTCTCTTGTTCTAAGTAAGAATAATTAACAACATACTCCGACTTCTGTGCATTGCTTTCATTCAAAATTGTGTTTTCTTGCAGAGCAAGATTGTTATCTCGTCGTATTCGTTTCACTGCTTTACCGTAACCATCTTTTCCAAGTCCAAGATAAACACGTGTTCCATCACTTCCTTTGCCGATACAAAACTCTTCAGAGAAAATTACACATACATTACCCACATATTCAACCTTGATGCTGAGATTGCGCCCATACTCAATAAGTCTTTGGAATAATTCTTTATGTTTTGTTGATTCACCAAGGTATTTCCATTCTTGTAACTGCAATTCTGAAATTGAAGTAAAAGTATTACATTCATAGAGAGCAAATGTGCATGAATACTCAGATGTATAAAAGTAGCTCAAGCTTCATTTTATTGCATTGAGGATTTTCATACAAAGTGAACATTTAAAAATATTTTATGAAAAACCATCATCAACAACTCATTCAAGCCAGTGACGTAGGAAGGAGGGCACGTGTCCTCCACAACTTTTAAGTTTAATATAAAAATGATAAAAATGAAATTCATAAAATGATAAAAGTATAAAATTAAGGTTAAGTAAAACGGAAACAATCAATGAGCAGATTACTAAAAAGCTTTCTCATTAGTGCAAACTCTCTACCTTTTTCGTTCTTCTTCTTAATGATTTCTTGTAACTTCGCTTCCATTGAATTTCGTAAGTAATAACGCTCTTTTTCTTCGTATATTTGTATCAGATATTTCATAGCATTCTCTTATTTTTCTATATCTTCATCTTTTTGGACAATCCCCAGATACATTTCATAAATATCTGCTGCTTCCCTATCTTGCTCAAGTTTATCAAACAATTCTGCTAATTCCCATAAAACAGCCAACACTCCACTGACAATTCCAGCTGAAGTAACAATTGACAAGTTCTTCATGTTAAGGTTGACGAAATCTTTACTAACGTTGATACCACCAACTTCTCTTTGTCGTTGTGGTCGATGATGCTGTTCATGTTGTTGCTGTTGAGATTCAAGAAGATTAAATCCTTTTACTAGCGTTGATACCACCAACTTCTCTTTGTCGTTGTGGTCGATGATGCTGTTCATGTTGTTGCTGTTGAGATTCAAGAAGATTAAATCCTTTTTTGTAATGCTCCAGAGATTTCTCATAATTTCCAAGCAACTTATTCAATCCTCCTAATGCAATATGGCAGAGACAATTTATTTCATCTTTCTTTATGTCGTCTTCAGTCTTTCAGTGGTAGAATGAATACTTCCCAGGTGAAGATATACTTGATGCTGAAAATACTTACTTTCCACTTTAGAAGAAAGATTCAAACAATCATTAAAACAGTTTAATCCTTCCTGCCATTCATCAGAGAAAGTATAAGCGTTACCAAGACCAAAGAACGCCATTATTTTGACGCTAATTTCGTTTGTAACTTTCAAACATTCTTGGTAGTGTTTAATTGCTCTTTCGTAATCGCCATTTTCATATTAAAATTTCCATCTTCCAAGAACTGCATAGCTGCTGGTTGTGACTGCCATAACCCCATCTTTTCTTGTGATACGGCAAATATTTGTTTGAGCTCGTGATTATTATTTCCAACTTTCCTTCAGTGGAACTTTTCAATCCCAACTTTGGATTAATCACAGGAAACGTAGTGGTTCTTTTAGAAGCGTTGATAGAGTATCTGTGAATTAACATCGACTGTTATTTGTTACAAGCGAACAAGAAAATTTTTTGTTTCATCTATTTCTACGTAGATTCTAGGCGCTCATTTGCTATCGTGTTTAACGCAATACAAAATTTTTAACGTCTTATTGACTGTTTTCTTGGGTATTCAATTTAAAACAATAAAGAAAATTAATTGATGGAGATTCTTGAGCTAAAAATGATAGATATAAACGTATTTGTTCTAAATTATGTAAATGTATTCTGCGACAGTATATGTTATCTGTTTCAAAGACCTGGATAAATGAATATGTGACTTAACAATGACCAAGACCTAATTCTTGCTCCTATTTTGGAATTTTGTCCTATTCTTATCCTACTACAGCAGCTATACTTTGCACTAGCTGTGGGTTTTTTCATGAGTAGAAAACATGAGCAGGCATAACTGAAAAGCAAGTATGAATGCTTTATCCTTTGACATTATCCTTTGCTGTAAATAAGCATGCAATTAAAATTATACACAGCTAAAAGTCGCTAGCTAAATGGTATTCGCAAACAAATTTATAGATTTTTTTGTGAAGTCATTTTTATAAATGAATTATTTTTGCTCCATTTTCACGATGTCGTAGAATGCACACCGTGTTTGCCAAATCGATAGTTAGTTTCGACATCAATGACTATATGACTTGTCTTCTTTCATTGTTAAAATTACATAATTTATTTATGTTTTTATTTAACTATTCATACATTTATTATGTGTATTTTTTTACACTTCCATACTATTTATCAACAATCTTTAATACTTCCTTTTGTCCTTATTTTCTCGAGCAATTTTAGCTGAGTTTTAAAACACGGTTAATGCCATAATAGCCAGTGGCTCCAAAACTGTCTGTTAACCAACAAATTCTTATAAATATTCACACATAACAAAATTTTGAAAAAGAATGTAAAAGAAGTTCAGATAGAAATGATAAATCATGCAATCGATTTAAATAATACCAAGACCAACTTTCTCAAAATTTTTTTTTAAAATGCCTGCGTGTCATTTCCGGCAACGATTTACATCGTCATCCGACAAGAGAAAATATTAAATGTTTTAGATCAGTTTGTCGTCTCAACAAAGTTTTTTCTTTTTTATCGCTGTGGTAAAAAGTATACAAAAAATATAAGGTTAAAGACATAGAGTTAAATACAGAGGTATAAATAAGATGAACAGACCAAACCCTGGCAAATGAATAGATTATACATCATGAAATATTTCACATATATTCAACCTAACATTTAATGCGTACCATTCTTTAGTTTTGTGATTAATACAATACAACAAAGTCTGGAAAACTTACAATTAATACGAAAATCTTTAAGTGTTTGAAAATTTGAGAAACTTTGATTTCGTTTCCATTTTTGTTATAAACAGATTATAAACACCAAAGTATGTTAAATGCGTCGTAGATTAATATCGTTTGATAATAAATGTAAAGCATTTCTATAGATCGCAGAGGGAAACAAATATATTTACTGAAGGAATAGATAAGGAATTTCAAGTATGATTTAAAACGTCATACGCACATGTAACTTATGCCTCTGGTTGTATACAACAGAACGGCCCTTTTATAGTGAAAAACACCGAATTTTGCCTTGGTTAGAAATTCTTTTTGGAAGAGTTCGCTCTTGTTGGGACTAGGCGACTCTGTATCTCAAAAACAGTACTCTATGATCTAATGGGTATTATGCTTTATAAACATTTTAAATACACGATGATATTTTTCAATTTTGTATTTGTAATGATATATAATATTTAATTTAGCTATAAGACACCTTCAGTGTGATTGAATACGATATTTATATCATACAATGTGATTCAGATAATAAATTGATTCCATTAGTTACAGTTGAATTGATACATTTGAGTCCTTCATGGCAATAGTGAACACAAAATTTTGATGATGCCAGTGTATAAATGCCTGGGTCTAGACACCACGAAAAGAGGTATCACCGAGTACGGTAATCAGGCACGGGCACTGATGTGAACGACGGTAACGTGTATGAAAAGCCGTTGGCACGGTTTTCGGCGGCGCCGAAATATAAATAAACGAAGCTAGTGGATGCTACGTAGTGTGGTTTCAACCTGCAGATTTTGCCAGAACAGGGTATCTTACTCCGGCAATTAGTCTGAGCGCTCTATAATTGATCAATCTAACGTCAACTAAAAATGAAGGTGTAACATAAGTGAGACATGAAATATTGTTAAACATCCATACTTATCTAATGCAAGTATTTTCCTGGGGCGGATTTTTATACTTTAATACTTTACAAAGCAAGAGATATTGAAAAATTAGGGGGGGGCTAATTGCCCTGCTGATACTCACACGTAGAAATAATTTACAAATTGGTGGGGAAATGATACAGGATGTGCATAGTTAAGAAAGGAAAATTAAATTTGGAAAATACTATTTAAATGCTGGACTTGTTTCTTCATGTCTGGTTTGTGTTGACGTATGTGGTTGGTTTGAGTTTGAAAATGAATGAAGTGTTAGCAGTGTTAGAAAGCATGATGAAGTGTATTTAGATTTGCTTTCAGATTTTGTTAATGTTTTGTCCAACGTGGAGTTTTTTTCGGAGGTGGTGTATTCTTTGATCCATGTTGCAAAATTTCTGGTGGTTTCATGTAACAGTTGTATCATATTTCTATCTTAAATCTGCGACGAAGATGGCTTGGAGTGAAGTCGAAACATGTCTGTTATTAAAATTAAAAAATTGAAAAATATTGTCGTTTATTTAAATGTTTACAAAATATTACATAAAATGAACCTTACGGTAATCATTATATGCAAATATATGAGATTAAAGAGTTTGAGATAGAGACAAAAACACTTGTATAAAAAGATATTAATTTAGTCAAGAACGTTTCTTTTGGCTCTCCATTAGACACAACATATAGTGGTGCTGGCAGGATTTATTTTTTGGAGGGAGGAGTGTAACACCTCCAAAGTATGTACAATGTATAACGCAAATGTTTTATTCAACTTCAAGAAACTTTCAAGTTACGTTTACAGAAACCTCAGTATGTGAAATATATATTGGCAGTCGTCCCCTTTGGAGCCTCTGACAATACATTAGAATCCAAAATCACATAAAAAAGAAAATGCTCTCATCTTGGAAAGTCTTTTTGTGAGAGTGCTTAAAATGTATAAATTATTAACAAATGGGACAATGTGTCATGCCTAGTACAGTTTCAAATTGGAACCAAAGTCAGTGACCTTATCATTCACCAGAAATCAGTTCAATACTAGTTGCCTGATAAAACCATATCGTTCCAATGCTCATTCAGTCAAATCTCCATGCCCATTGGCTTGTAAGTCGTTTGTCCCGTGAAAGGTGGAGACATTTCATCATCGAGTCAGAACTTTGCTGTGTGTTAGCGGTTCCGGTGGCATGACCGGCAGCACGTCAACTTGCGAATAACGGAAAAAAACACTTGACTTCACATTGACAGGGTGACTGGATGGACTGAATTAAAGAGTGAACTGGTAATATCGTAGTAAGTTCATGGATGACAGCACAGTGGTTGAATTACCAAATGTCAGGCGGTAAACCACATACCAATTTCAAGTCTTGTGTAGCAAAAGTGATATAAATGGCCGCACCACGCAATCTTCCGTTGCAGAGTTAGAGACTTGTGAAGTTATGCTGGTTATCGGACGGCGCGAAAATCCTAAGTTGTTTCTACGGAATATAAATTGGGAGAGGAGAAGGATCAGTGGCAATTAAATACAGTTTAGGATGGACAGTGATTGGTCCTGTCGCCTACCGGGAATGAAGCAGTGCATCGGCTAATCTTGAACGATTGAATTCGATGCCCCTGACTCTGCCACTAACAATGAAGTTGATGAAGTGGAAAATGAATGCCTCAGAAAATGTGGTGGAAAGACTGTGGAAGACCGACTTTGAACCTCTAGTTGAAAAAAGTGTGTCCGTCGCGAAGGCAGAGCGCTTCAAATAATGGAAGAGACGCTGACGTAGTAGATAATCATTTTCAAGTTGCTCTGCCATGGCGAAAAACCGCCCTCCTTACCTAATAATAGAATAATCGCAGAACGCAGAGGCTTACTTTTGAAAAACGGCTCCTCAGGGATGAAAACCTGTTGAAAAAGTATCAAGCCACAATAAACGATTACATTGATAAAGGCTACGCAGAAAAGATTCTTCAGGATCTAGAGGTAAACGACAGACCAACGTGGTACCTACCATCACCCGGTTACTCATCCTCTAAAGCCCGAAAAGGTAAGAATCGTCTATTATTGTGCAGCCAGATATGAGCAAACGTCGTTGAATCAGCAACTTCTGGAATTACGGATCAGACAAATCTACTAACAGGCGTGTTAAT